AATAATCAAACTTACACACCTTCAAGTGAATTCTTTCAAATGAAAATAAAATCACAGCACTTACTACTTGGTCTCGCATTAATATTTTTTCTAAAGGCACAATGCGGCCAGTCAGAGACAGCTGGCATCCAAAACGCAGCCCCCAGGTCTCCAGCTCAAAACGTGCATCCTTGTTTCTGTTGATAGATTTGAGTTTTGAATCATTAAAGTGCTTATTTTATAAAAGGTTTTAATCATCAGAGATATAATTGTAAGTTACCGAATTATTCAGGGACTGGTTTTTCTGTTTCTTTAGTGTTCCTGGCTTCTATTTCTACACACCATTGTTTTTTTTCTTATTTTCCTACTCTTCAGCACACCCACAAAGCAATTTATAATCATTTTGAGCAATTTCTTTCATGAGTAGGACAATATAATGCTCAAAGGAATCATAGGAAGATGGTGCCCATCTGGGCCATCCAGGAATGGGAAAAGGCTTCCAGTGTGGCACAATGATTATAAAAATGGGCCACAGAGCCAAAGAGACCCAGGTTTAAGTCTTAGCTCCAACATTTAATAATACCGGACCTTGAGCAAACTATTTAATCTCTTTAAGCCCTGGTTTCCTTATTGGTAAAATGTAGGGATAATAAAAGTTGCTACTTTGAAGGGTTGATTTAATGATTAAATATGAGAATATAAGCAAAGTGATTAGCCCAGTGCCTAGTACATACTAAGTGCTCAATAAATGTAAGATATTATCATTCCTATTAATGAATTTGAGACAGAGAGTACTTTAAAGCTTCTGGATATGGAGATCCAAAATACTTTCATTTCAACATGTGTCACTAGCCATACTTCAAGTGCCCAATAGCCACATGGAACTAATGGCTACAGTACTGGACAGTGCAGTTTAGAAGGTCAGAAGGGAGAGCCAGGGGAAAGCTCAATTTTCCCATTACAGGTTTGACAAACTGTCATAGCTGAGGGCAGGAATGCAGACGGAGAATCAAAAGGGCTGAACCACAAAAGCCCAAAAGTGTTGCCACGTTTAAAAAATATACAGTGAGATTCTCCTAACGTTCAGCATGCTGAGGCCACTATGTTAAGATCTAAGCATTTCTGGTCCTGAACACTGGGGACCTGAGGTTTTTGTTGTTTTGTGTTTTAAACTGTAACTCTTTTATCCAGAACTTCCATGTATTAGACAGATGAAAGCAGAGCTGTCTAGCTGAAGTGGGTGGCACTCTTACCATCATGGCCTCCTACCATCTTCCCTCAACCCACTAGTCCTGAGGCATCTCAGAGGAGCCTCTGGGATCAGGACACCACCCAAAAACACCTTGCTCTGGATCAACAAGAATGAGATGGTTTCATTAAGGAATGATAGAATGATAGAACATCTACCACCACCAGTTGACATCAAATGGACCCAATGCATGGGACCCCATGTGTGTCAAAGTAGAACTGTGCTCCATAGGGTTTTCAATGGCTAATT